GCTATTCAATACACGACATAGGTGTATGATGACCTGAAAGAGTTAAGATGGCCACGGAGGCCAATTAACTGCATAGGCTACACCTGGACAAGCCAGAAAGCTGGGATTAATTAAGACATGAGGCTCAGTTGGACAGAAAGAGGGGAGGCCTATATAAAGCTCCAGATCTGAGAGCACAAAGGGATGCTAGAGAGACAGACTGTAGTCATTTGCTGGGAGAAGAGAAGTGTTTTGGGGCTATGGAAACAGGTAGCCTACAGTTACTCCGTGGGAGGAGAGAGTTTGGGCTGATAAGCCAGGGTGATGGGAGAGACAGAAAGGCACAATAAGGTTGGGGAAATGTAACAAGGTATGGGGTATGGCAGACCTTGGCTGCTGATAAAAGGGCCCTGAATGGGAACCCTGAGTAGAGTGAGGGGCTGGGTTCCCTCACCAGCCACTGGGGAAGTGCCATGGACCAGAGAGCAGAGAGTGGAGTGCCTGAGACAGATTTCCTTAGAAACGTTGAGACTCTAGATGGTGAGGACCTCAGTGATTTGGCCGAGGGGAGGGGGGGGGGAATGCAGCTCCTGGAGTGAGAAAAGACAGACAATGGGAGATAATGATGGACAGGTGAAGAGATCACCAGAAGAGGACACAGCACCTTGAAGAAGCTAATTTTCACAGCCACCAGGAGGTGCTGTCACCTGCAATGAATGGACCCATGACAGCGTGTAGAACGCAGATCCCTTATAAAACAGGAGTGTGAGAGATTGTGGACCATGAAGGACAGTATAAGGCAGTCACCCACTATACTGGAGTGTGGAAGGCACAACAGAAAGAAAGTGCAAGAGACAATGAAGTCACAGTCTACTTTTTTGCTGAGGGCACTTTTACCCTCCCAGCCTGGACTCCAGAGTTTTTGCCTCTGCAGAAGAGGACTGGCAAACAGAGGAATGGAATGGATCCAGATCCTACTGTAGCAGCTCCTGCAGAACAAGCAAAGACAGTGGAAGGCACATTGGTACTTGCAAAACTATTTGACATGGCTGGCTGAACAAGCACTGTATTTATTTAAGATCATGTGGGAAGAAATTAGCAGAGGTTGCAGAGAGTAGAAAAGAGGCACCAGGGCCAGAAGCCTGGCCAAAGGAGCATTGTGTCTGCAGGTGAAGGGGACAACTGTGTATGTAAAAATTCAGCGAAAATAATAAGAACCAAGAGTTTCTCTTACCAAGGGCTATGAAACATTTTCATTAATAGAGATGAAAGGGTTATCCTTTCTGTTTTCAATTCAATATAGTATTATGTGATTACAAAGAGAGACTGAATAAAAATATCATTTTAATGTAAAAAAATGATATAAGCATGCAAAGAACATACCAAGTGAGGGTAATCAGTTTTTTCAGTACACTACTTCCTTCAATTTTGAAATGTGTGTGTTTAATATTTAATAGCTCAGCCTGTACTATAAACCACTGAACCAATAAATTAAGTCTTTTGTGCAGTATCACAAGTGCCTTTCTGAACTCAATTGTGTCAGTAGTTCCCCCTCCAATTAATTTGGGTAGTTACTTCCTTAAAATTTGAGGTACTTTATGCTTGATTTCCCTTTTGTAAGCCCATGCTGACCTTTAAACCATAAAACACTAAAGATTGTGCAGAAGTATGCATAATGCAGTACTCAACTGTTAATTGAAGCACAAGGCAAAACAGAGACAGGGTTTGAACTGGATATTCTTACACATGTAAGTTACCATAACTAGCTGCCACTGGACACTCATAAAAGTTTGCTCATGTGAGTAAACATTGCAAGATCAGGCCCTTATCACTCCAGATAATTATAAAATCAGTTTCTTCTTAAAAATGTGTGATAATTAACTAAAAATGAACTAATGTTTATTTCTTTTAGAAATGATGTTTACCACAGATAACAGACTCTGAGGGAGGATTATTTTAGCCACTAATAAATTATTTTTAAAGTTCTTAGTATTTTTTCCTTTTTCTGCATGATGTTGCCTTTCTAGTTTGTGCCTACCCCTCCCCCCCCATCTCACTCCTTGATATTAGGACCTTTGCTTTAACTGAAACTCAGATGAGAGGCTCTCTCTTCACTACTACCCCCTCCATTTTCTAAGAAGAAATCAAAACCAGAAGTATTAAGCATCTCCCAGGCTGTATTTTCCAACCGAAAACTGAAGTGCTTGCAAACAGATTATTTGGCCACAGGAGGTGCATTGTGGGATCTACAGCAACAGAAGGTCTTTGAAATTCAAATGTAGCAGTTTTGCTTTGAAATGGTGCCAGGGGTGTAGTTCTCCCAGCACTGCCCTGCAGCCCAACCAGCTGCTTTAGCTTCATTATTTTACCATGAAACATTAGAAATACAACTGGAAGTGGGACTCACCCACCTGAGTATTTGCTATGAACCAAGTGAAAGAGAGGGCATGCTGCATTTGCAATCACACAGAATGGCTTCAGATATTTTAAACTGGAACATTTTCCTTTTAGAAGCTGCAGAATTCACATGTACTGTATAGCACACTGTCACTTGCCTCCCTTGATCTTCTGCACTCCCTCAGATGCCTTGTCATTTAGTTACACTTTGCAGTGGAGCAGTCAGCTAAACTCCCAGTTATAGATTTGCAGTTGCTAAGGAAAGAGGGCTAGTGGAGGGGAAACAAAACTCTGCTAGAGTGAGAGAGATCTTGAACTTCCAAAAATATCAGTGACACCTCAGTATATAACAGAGATGGATGGTGGATTCTGATTGCCAGAGAAGGTAGACTGGAACAATCAATGACAGAAGAGGGAGATAACAAACCGGTGGGGATAGAGTGGAGGGGGGGCAGATGAACTGTAAGGGCTGGCAACACAAAAAAAATCTATTTAAAATTAGAGGCTAAAGGAATGAAACAGATGGAGAAAGTAAAGAAAAAATTGTGAAATAGGTATAAAATGTATATGATCAGCTATTAACCTATTTGAGTACTCTTATGAATGCTTTGAGATGTACTATTTAATCTCAAGGTTCTGTGACTGATTTAGCCATGGTGACCTAGCAATTTAAAATGTATGTTACAATCTTAATCAAATCATGTTTATCTAGCTGTTCCACGCACCTTCCCTGTAGGGGTGATAAAATTAGGTTAATTTACTAATTGAGCAGAATTTTTATCGACTACTTGATTAGTCGATAGGGGCAGGCAGCCAGCTCAGTCCCAACTTGCACTGGGACCAAACCCCACTGCAGCTCTGCAATTTAGAAGGCAGTAGGAGCTGGACAGCCTTCCCCCCAGCTCCTTCTGTGTTTTAAATTGCAGAGCTGCAACAGGATTTGGTCCCAGACCCGACCTGAGTGGGGACTGAGCTGGACTGCCTGCCTGCCCAGCTCCTACTGCCTTTAAATTGCAGAGCCACAGCAGGATTTGGTTGCTGTTCCCCCCAAGGACAGAGGTTGCTGCTAGGGGCTGCTAGAGACTGCAGTGAGGAGGGGAGCTGGTGGCACCACAGAGACAGTGTTGGGGGGAACCGTCTTTTAAGCCGGTTCCCACCAGCACTGGTTTCTGCATGTCACTCCCCCCGCCCCGGCTGCCTCTGATACAGAGACAGCAAGCGGACGGGGAGGAGGGGGAATGTGAGTAGTTGATTCAATTAGCCAATAAGCCCAAATTTATTGGGTAGTCAACTACTTGCATATATCCCTACTTCCCTGGTGAATGTTTCTACCTCTCCCTCTGCAGATAACTGGCTTACAGCATTATTCCTTAACTTCTCCTTACAGTCTCCTTTTTTGTCGCATTATTAGCTTACTAGCTGTTTTCCCGAGACCAACTATTTCTCGTTTCCAAGAAGTTTTACATTTATCAGGTATGGTTTTTCTTCTCCCTTTTGAAACTTTTTTGGATGGACTCTTGACTCCTGGGAGGACTGCTTTATCTTTCATAATCTTTGCAAAAGAATTTTAAAAAGTTATAAGTTGTTTAAGTAATTTCCCTTTCATAGTACACTTTTAAATCTTTAAAGTACCAGCACAAGACAGCAGACTTTCGGAACAGTATCATTATTTTCTGTTAAAGCAGTTAGTTAGGTTGGTTAGCGTTGTCTTCGTGTTACATTGTGAAAGGTGAAGGACCAAGGTACAGGACCAGCAGAGATTTTATGATATTATATAAGCAGAATAATATAAGAATAATTGACAGCATATTGCAATATTGGTGTGTAAGTTCTCCTCAAGAACAGATGTGGTACAGATAACAGTTGCCTTGCATCTGTCATATGGTGTTGCCAGTCATAACACTGATAACAAATGAGCGACTGGGGGCATTAATTTACAGCTGCTTTACACACACACACACACTCTCTCTCTCTCTCTCTCTCTCTCTCTCTCCATTGCCTTAGGGATTCATCTTCTCTGACACCTACTTGGCACAAGCTGATTTCCCAAGAGCTGCTAATTCATTCAAACTGCCTTACTACAGCATTTGATTGCGGAGAGCTGGAAGGCAAGAAATATTCCAAATTCTAACCCCTGAAGAGGTGCTTAATACAGTCACTGAGGTTTCTTTCTGACCTCCTGTCCCCTTTTCAGTTCTTACCACAGAACCAGCCCTTCACTGGGGATGCAACTGAGCAGATATAAATCTAGAAAGTACTGAAATGGCAATTCCATAATAGCAATTCTATTGCTCTGATATCTCCAGTTAATGGAACACATTACAGCTTCGCTAGGAAGACTCCATCTCCATAAGGATTATGCTAGTAGTGGCCCATCCCTAAATAGCATTGTTATAAAGCTTTGTCACACTGCGGCATACTTGAGGTAATTTCTGCTTTTTCATGTTCATACACCATAACATTTTTCTTTTATTTCAGATGCATTAATAACTTGACATCAGGCCAAATATCCTTAAATATGGAATAATTATTCATATGTGAACACATTTCATATCTTTGTCCCTAATCTTTATTAGTTTGTATTTTTATTCATCCTCCTCCATTAAGATGATTAAAAATCTTACTTGCTATGGATACTCCGTTTCTTAGCCAGATAATACTCGGTTTGGGGTTGCCATTAGCTCTGCAGATCAGGGTTCCATCCTCTCCAGGAGACAACACAAGGTTTCTAGGGGCTGTGATCCAGTATGGAGCAGCTTTGGTCAGAGAAAGAAAAATACAACAAATGTCAGGTGAAAAAAAAAGTGTGTTTTTGTGTTTGCTGATTCTTCTGTCTGCAATACTGAATAATTTACTGGCAAAATCATGCTTTGTTTAGCTCCAATTACATGTGACACATGAAATTGGGCTTTTAAATAGATGGACAATAAATCATACAAGTATTCATACCTGTATTTGTCAACATTTTCAGGTAAATAAAATGTGATTCTTAACTGCATTTAAGTAAATTTGAGTAATATACATCAGCATCTTTAATCCTAATCTGCATTTCTAAAGACAGCCAAAGGTAACAGCTTCTGTAAAAGGATTAGTACAGTAGCTTTTCTAATGAATTTGAGGTGTCCCTGATACTGAAGCAACCTTGGGAAGAGGAAGACAGGGACAGATAACAGAGGAAGAGAAAAGTGCAAGTGACTCAAGTGGCTGGTGGAGGTGAAATAGATTTAGGGTAAAAATTTGGCTCCACTGAATTCATGGAAAAACTCCCAGCAATTATACTGGGGTCAAAATTTCATCCTGGCTGTATTACAAATACAAGAGAGAGCAACCCAAAATGAACAAAAGCTGACTTAAAAGAAAAATAACTTACACACATTTATCAGCAGTAAGTCTATGCAAACAGCATATGTCACATTTTGCATAAATATAAACAAGTGCATTTGGATTAGTGGACACAGGTGCATGAAGAATTTATCTTTTTATTTTTAAAAAGGAAGTGGATGATACCCACAGAACCATTTTGAACAAAACCAAAGTCAACATCAATGTAAATTGGTGCCAAGAGTTTTGAGTGAACATTAGAAGTTTACTTAAAAGAAATTACTTATTTGCCCCATCAGGAATAATCAGCTAGTATTAGCCAATTCCTACTCAAGCCCTCAGGCACATTTGAAATACCAGCATATTTGAAATCTGTTTAATCCCAGTGTTATAATGCTACTACTGGACAGATAAAATCTAGCTTGGTAGAACCAGAAGAAAGGAGTTTGAAAAAACAAAAAGGAAGAAAAGGGAAAAGAGCAGGGGAATGGGGATGAGAGACAAGACAAGACTGAAAGAAAGAAAAAGAAGCAGCAGAAGAAGTGGTGGAACAGTCTCTTATGACACTGAAAGAAAGTCTAGATTAAATTTACCAAGGGGTAGCTTCAATTTAGCACCAAACAGCTGTGTGGTAAAAGAACACTGCCACATATTAAAATTAGGCCATCATAAAAATTAAAGACTGGACAGGATAAAGCCATGTCTTGTGGGAAACATCAATTAATGTATTGAATATTTTACTCAGTGCCTTTTACAGTTATCATTCATCCTTGTAGATATGATTTACTGTAATATCTTTTCCTGATAATACAGCACATTATTACCTTGCATTTGGATGCCATCATTGTTTAACTTGGAGTTATTCTAGCATTACCTTTGACAGTTACTGTAATGGTATGGTGAGTGGAACCTAATGTATTTCTTGCTATACATTTATATTTTCCAGAATCAGCTTCAGAAACATCTATGATCTTCAGAGTTTTCTTAAAATTTTCAAAAAATGTTCTGTTAGTGGGTAGTTCTCCTCCTTCTTTAATCCAGCGGATAACTGGTGTGGGTCTGAAGACACAAAAATACAAATGAGATTGAAGAGCTGGGCAAAAAGCAAGGTTAAGCGTCCAATCCATTAATTTTTCATATTTATATTGTAAAGATAATTCTTGCCCTGAGAATGTTGACATGGATTTTTGGCTGGTATGACTAACAAATATAGAAAATGTTACTTAATCATTTTCAGCAAATTGTAGCATCATTAACATCAACACATTTCCTTGATTTTAAAATAACAGAATACATTTTTGTGGAATCAATTGCAATTTACAACTGTTAATGAGTCAGGTTAAAAAAAAATTGAATGTTCTTTTTGATAGTACGGGGAATGGAGGAAAGGCATAGAGATAGCCCCTGTCTCAGTGAAAGAGGAGAGCTCACCAAGGGTGATAGTGGGGCAAATCAATTGTTGAATCAACTGCAATTTACAACCGTCAATGAGTCAGATTCAAATACATATTTGAATGTTCTTTACCTAAGCTAGGATTATTTATTTGTAGTGACAAAGTAATGCTTATGTTACTTTGGAAGAAGTTACTCACCTTGTGCAGTAACATTGTTTTTTTGAGCTCTGAGTGCTCTACTGTACGTGTGCTTGTATCCCTGTGTTGCTGATCAGAGAACTTTGGGAACAGTGTCACCACCTCATGCCCAGTTGTGAGCCTAACTAGCACTTGCTGACTAACCCTCGCCAGTGCCTTTTGTACCACAGAGTCACTGACAAGAACTCTGAGCTAGAGTGGTGGGGGGAGCACCTCCAGGGACACCAAAGAACCATTGTTACTGCACAACAAGAAGTGAGTTGTTGTAGTTGCCTCTCCCCCTCCTCTCCTCTGCCTGCTATGGTTGGCTCCACTCTAGGTGACTCCTGAACTGTGCCCCTCCTGTAGGGCTGGAGCTTTGGAGTTGGGTCAGTGACAGATGACAATACAGTGGAGCCAAAGATGTCATCAGATGCATAGTGCCCAGTAGTATTTTGCAAAGGTATGAACTGATGGCCAAGTTGCCATTCCACAGATTTCTGAGATAGGGGGATTCTTGAAGAAGGTGACAGAGAAAGATATCAACCTGTGGAGTACAGGCAGATAGTACTGGGGATACTGCACATCTGATAACACTGTATAAAGTACCTTGACAGCATTTAGAGAATGTCTGGGTTAATACTGCTGAGCCCTTGGGTGTTTCACATCAGAAAGGAACAGCTTCAGGGCCTTCCAATGCGTGCAATATCTCTTTTTTTTTTCCTCAGTGAATGCTTTACATAAAAAGTTAGGAGGTAAACTATTTGGTTCATATGGAATGAGATTACCTTAAGGATGAATTTCGGGTGTGGCATAATCTTGTACTGAAAGAATATTGCATAGGTGGGATGTGCCATTAGGGATGCTATTTCTCTCATCCTCCTCACTGAGGTGATTGCTATTTTCATTAACAGGCATCTAAATGAACAGGTGATGACGGACTCAAAGGGAGGTCTAGTCATGACTTTCAACACCAGGCTTAGTTGCCATGTAGGTGTGGAATGTTGTGGTTGTCAAATGGGTAGGTGGTTCAGCTGTAGTGGTTGAGGGGAGTGGCCTATTGGCAATTCGACCTACACATCAAAATTGATGTTTGGAGTTGAATGAGTGTGATGTAGAAGGATATGGACCTAATGGTTTATGCTTGGGGAATCTAGATTTCATAAAAGAGCTGAGATATGCATGACCTGTGCTGAGGCAGCTGACTAAGTTTTCTCTTTTGTCCAAGTGTGTAGATCCCTAATGAGCAGAAAGTGATCCTGGAATCTATGAAGGTAGAGAATGGCTTCCATTTTCTCCACAAAGAACATGGCACCCTCAAAGTGAAGATCTTCAACAGTCAATTGTACCTCTTTAGGAAAGCCAGAAATATGGGACCATGATACACATCAAATAACCATCACCATGGAGGTGGACCAGGATGCAGAGTCAGCTGCATCGAGAAAAGACTGTAGCATTATTTGGCTACCTATTGTTCTTCCTGGATTATAGCTCTGAACTGGTCACACAGTGAGTCTGAAAGCAGATCTATAAAGTTGTTAAGCTGATGCAGCTTTATTTTGTTGTTAAGTCTTAATTAACTATTCAAAACTAGCATGGTGAGGAATAGGTCTTCCTCTTTAAGAGGTTCAAGCGCTTCCAATTCCTTATTATAGGGGGGTGGATCTCTTTTGGTGATGAAGGCCTCAGGATTTTACCATGCCTTGACTCTGGAGTGGTGGGGGGAGGGTTGGAGAAAAGAAATTCCATCTCCCTAGCTGGCATGTAATATTTCTTATCAAATGCTTGGGTCTGTCATATGGTTTTTGTGAGGTCCAGAGAGTTTAGTTCGCGGGGATGGCTATTTTAGAGGCCGAGGAAGAGTGTAATATGTCAAGGGTAATACATCTTCTGATTAGAGTGCTGCTTGCTCCTGTCTTTGTGAGTCGGTATTGCTGACTCAGTTCCTGTACCCTTCAGGTCCTTAGGCACATCAACCATACCTGCCTCTCCAGATCTTTGTGAAAGATGGGTACTGGGTTGGGATTGCCTCAATGCTGATGATGCTGAGTGTCCTGTTAGAGAAAAGAAACTGCCCCCCCAGTAAAAAAGTTTGGCCAGGCCGCTCTTGCTATAGTGGGCTGCAGTACTCCTTGGGAGAAACCGGCCGCACCCTTCCTGCATACCATTGCCTTTAGAAAAAGGGAAGGTGTGAAAAGGGGAAAATAGCCTCAGACTCTCCCACCCGTCACCTTGGCGTGAGAACAGCGGGGCTTACCTGGTCGCATGAAACCTGCACAGTTTCAGCTCAACTCCTGGGACACAGACCCCCCACTTGGTGACCATTGGGCAATATATGGTGATATGCAAGCGCGGGAAAGCGATGTGCAGATTTGGGGATAAATACCCATCGCACAGTTTGCTTGAGGAGGTCTTCGCAACACACGTACCACCGTGCGTGTGCCTTCCCGTATACTTCAAAGCGCTACCGGCCTGATCAACTGACCAGCCACCTCCCCCGACTTTCGGGCTTAACCAAGGCCTTCGCAACCGAACCGATATCTGTGAAATGTTCCGTGTGCTGTGTAAGTTGGTATGTGTGATTTGATTTTTTCTTGTTGTATAAGCTTAGTGTTGTAGTTGTTTTGGGTAGTACATAGAGTTTGTAGTTATCACTGTTATTTAATTAGTGTAGCTGGATATTTTAAGATTAGAGACTATTCCCCTTGCCGTTCCCATCCTTATATCTCTGACACGTTTAACTAGAAATCATAGAATAAATATAATAAATACTGTAAATTCATTATTAACATGGTCTATTAAAAATCTTAGAATAAATACTATAAATTCACCACTGTCATAAATAAATATTTTTATTTGATAAAACTGTCCACCTGGTTCTGTCCTTCCCCCCTTGTGTATGCATCATCGGACCTGTGATTCTCGCGACATATCCCAGAGATCTCTTGCAGGTAGCTTGGGGCTGACTCTTGGGACGTACTATTCTCATTTTCCATGACTTACGAGAGGGATCCATAGCTGAATACTTTGACCGACATTTGAGCGCTATGGGGAAGTCACATCTGGTAGGTGATTCTTGGCATAGGATCAGGAAGAGTTAGAGAGCTGTCATCATGAAGATGATTTTCTGTATCTATTCCCTGTCCCTTTGAGACCTGTGTCTAAGCTTCTGGCAGAAACCACACTGCTGTAGGATGTGGCTTTTCCCAAAGCAGGGCATTCAGTGACAGTGCTTGTCAGCCACAGGGATGGGCTCATTGCAGGAAAGCTTCCTGAAGGCTGGTGAGCTTTTTTTTTAATTGGGGTAGAGAAAATAAGACTGCTAATGGCTTTGTCTCTAGCAAGGGATGGATGAGACGGAACTGAGGGGTAGGGGGTTAACCTGCATGGACCGACTAGTCTCGTGGTGGATCAGAAGGGGAGAAAGCACATGTGCAATACTAGTGGGCAATGCTTGTAAAAGTCTCTAATCAGTAGAGCAAGAATGCTAGCTCATCTAGAGTAGAGTACTGGTAGGGACATTACTTGAACAAGAATGTAGTTTCCGGTACCAATGACACATTTATGCAGACTCTATCACCTTGAGCAAACCCGTAATACTTCTTGTACTTTACAAGCTTACTATTACAGGTCAGAAATCTGAACTTGTCCTAAATTTCCAAACTAAAAATCACAACCAGCATTATCATGGTTCCAAAGGCTGGCAGCACTCCACACATTTTGTGCCAGTAGCAACCCTGAACATGACAGATCTGGCTCACCAAAGGATTTAATCAAGAGTGGTAGGATCTTAAGTAGTACAGAGCCACACTATTAGTTCCAACATAAGGCACTTCCCTAAAGTTGATTCAGATGGAGTGAACATAGCAAAGGAGACATGGGAGGATATTCCTGTGACCCACCAACGTCAAGTCTTCTCTACAAATTTTGGATGATGCAAGTTACTTTGGTATGCAACTACTAAGTTTGTATCTCATTTGGGTGAGTACATACTTCACTGCTTTATGTCAATACTGTGCAAACTCCCCAGAAGTGCTTGTGTCAATGCAAAGTGCGATGCTCTATGAGTAGGTATCCTAATGTGCCACGTGCCACCATCTGGCACAATACTTTTTAGGAAATTTTCGCAGCCTGCTGTGGGATAGAAATTACTTGCCCATTGCCCTAGGAAATAGACATGAAAGAAAGAAACATGATGACAGAATGTATTTGTTTAATATTTTAAAATTTTACCCCATTTTGATACAATCACGTGTACTTTACGCTAACATGGGCCACTGACTTTTTTTTAAAAATAGGAACCACAGAACTCTCAAGGGATGAAAGAAAGTTTCTAGTTCTGCACCAAAGCAGTTCTGCACCCTACTCTGCTAATTTCTTCTTAAGAGTAAAAAAAAGAATGGTTCCATACCTCGTAACTGCTGTTCTTTGAGATGTGTTGCTCATGTCCATTCCATGTAGGTGTGCGTATGTAGGTGTCGTCAGAGATTTTTCCCTCAGTACCTGTTGGGCCAGCTGGGAGCCCCCTGGAGTGGCGCCGGTATACCGGCCGATATATACCCGTTGGCCCCCCTGCCCTCTCAGTTCCTTCTTACCAGAGCACTCCGAAGAAGGGGAGGCGGGTG